CCTAGATTGCTCCAAGCTCCATCCAACCTGGCCTTGGGCACTGCCAGGGATCCAGGGGCAGCAACAGCTTCTCTGGGCACCCTGTGCCAGGGCCTCACCCTCTCAGAGAGGAATTTATTCCCAATATCCCATCTAACCCTGCCCTCTGGCAGTGGGAAGCCATTCCCTGTGTCCTGTCCCTCCAGGCCTTTGTCCAAAGCCTTCCAGGATCCCCTGTGTCCTCAGCCCAGCTCACATCGCTCTGCCTGAGCTGCTCTTGGCACTTGTAGAGCAAACACGTTCCCATTTCAGGTGAAGGAAAATCAATGACGCCTCAAACCAGCCGGATAACGCCGGAGCAAAGGTGGAGTTTGTCTCCCCAACCCCCTGCCTGCTGCTTCCCAACAGGAAACCTCACTGGAACACGGCTGCTGCCAGCTCTGCAGCTCGATCCCTTCGAGACCCTTCCAGGCAGGAATGGCATCCTGGCTCCTGCCCTGTTTGACCACTGGAGCTGCTGGAGGCTGGGGGATGTTCTGGAGCAGAGACATGGGATTTCCCTGTGGAGATGAGCTGTGATAACCCCTGGGTGAATCCACCCCTCCTGTGGGATCAGCACCCGCGGCTGGGCTGGCCGGGCTGCAGGAGAGGATGGAGGTGAGGATCCTCCACAGGGCACTGACCCAGCGTGGGCTGATCCCACCCTTCCACCCTGAACCCTCCCAATTCCACCCTTCCACCCTGAACCCTCCAATCCCACATCTACCCTGATCCCACCCACCCATCCCCAACCTTCCCAATCCCACCCATCCATCCCCAACCTTCCCATCCATCCACCCATCCCAACTCTCCCTATCCCACCCACCCATCCATCCCCAACCCTCCTGGAATTCTCCACAGCGCCGTGGCTGAACCACCTCCAGTAATGCCTGCCATGGAAAATCATCAGACACCTTTGTGTCCTTCTTCCCCTAGAACCTGTGAAAATCAGGTCTGTGTTCTTCCTAAATGGCTTTTTGTGGCCATGGAATGAAATCCATGGATTTTCCAAGCTGCAGGGAGCCAGCTCTGCTGTGCTGTAGCAGCCCTGGAGCCCGTGGGCTGCCTGGGGTTGTGCTGGGTGATGGTGGAGGAGGTTTTTTTCTGCTTTTTTAATATCTTCATCAGCAAGTCTGGCACTAAATGGAGTGATGATATTCTCTGAGGTGAATTTGGGTACTTAAATATCCTGGCCTGAATAGGCAGCCAAAAATAGACACCTTCAGCAGTTCTGTGCGTCTGCTGCTCTTCCCTCTGAAGGACGAGGCTGGATCCCTCAGATCCTGCTGGGAATGCAGCTTGTGTTGTTCCCTCCTGGGGGCTCAGCCCTGCTTTCCATGCCCCAAGGATGGGTTCTGAGGGATTTGTGCTGTCCTGTGCTCCCCAGCCCCAGTGGGGCTGCACTGGAGGCTGCTGGCAGCTCTGCAGCCAGGTGGGAGCTGCAGGTTTGGGAGTTTTTGCCTCCAAAAGTGGAGGTGGCTCCTGGGTTTGGAAATATCCACGAGTGTCGGGTTTGAGCTCCTCCACGTTTGCCTCCCAGAGGAATCCTCAGCTGATGGAAAAATCCCTCAGGGATCCCCTCTGCACCCCGAGGGTGGATGTTGAGAGGGGACAGGGTGGGATTGGGGTGGCCTTTGTCCAGCTCTGCTGGGCTCCTGCTGGGGTTGTGTGGCCTGGAAACATCCCAAACTGGAGATGATGGCTGCTCCAGATGTGCCTGGACCTTGGGCTGGCTGCTGGGGGTTCTCAGTGCCCTCACAGGGGGATCAGGTCTGAGGGACACCCTGGAGATGTCCTGGGTGGGTTCTCCAGGGCCACCAGCCCACCCAGCTGCTGCCAGCCCAGGGCTGGGGGTCCCTGCTGTCCCCTGGGTCTGGCTGTCCCCAGGAATGGGGAATGCTCCACGCTGTGGGTGCCAGCCTGGCTGTGCCACTGCTCCCACCCCAGCTGTCCCAGGTCCTGTGACCCCCCAGATCCAGGGCCTTTATCCCCCCCAAATCTCCAGTGGCACAAATGGGAGAAAACACGACAAACCTGTCAGGAATTGGAGCTAAACCCCCGATTTTCTTCAAACGTGGCTGCCCTGTGCTTGAATGTTTGATTTTTTTTTCCTATTCTTTTTTTCCTTTTGGAGCATTTCACAGATCTCCTGCTCCCAACCTGACACTGCTGCTGGGGAGAAGCTGCTGTCAGCTTGAATCCATCTCATTTTCAGATGGAGATCATTCCCAGCTGCCACAGAGCTGCCGGTGTAAAGCAGCCTGGCAGCCTCGTGTGGATGCTCAGCTCCCTGGCTCAGCCCCGGGAGGTGTTTGCCCTTGCTCTGGGGACAAGGGGCAGTGCCAGGGCAGCCAGCACGGAGCGACTTCCATGGAGGAACGGGAAAAACTCGGAATTCTTCATTTAGCCTCGGTGTTAATTATCATTAATCACTTCCAGCGCTTTCCTGAAGGCTGGGAGCAGCCACGAGAGGGCAGGAGCTGCTGTTGCTGTTGGGTAGGAAAGGCGGTAAATACCAATTCCTACGGATTGCCCGAATGATTCTCCTTTTTCTGGAGTTTTTGATCCCCCAGCTGCTGCTCAGTCCCCGTCCTTGGCTGTTTCCCTCCCTGGGGAACAGCAGGAAAGCTCCCATGGAGTGAATCCAAAGCCTCTCCAGGCCAGGAGAGCTGCAGAGACCCCAGACATCTCCCAGGCTCCTTGGTTTGTGATGGCCTTGGAGCCCCTCCTGTGTCAGGACTCGTTCTCCAGGAAGATTTTCCCCTGCCCATCTGGAATTTGGAGGATAATGAGCAATTTTAGCGTCTGGGAGAGATTTCAGGGGAAGGAAGCAGAGCTCCAGCTGAGAGCCTCGTGCTGCTCTTGTGGGGTCAGTGCAGGTTTGAAGAGAAGGGAGAATGATTAACCAGGAAAGGAGCAGGGTGTTCCAGAGAGGAAACCACCATGAGCCCTGCTGCTGGGTTTTACTGGGATTTGGCTGTTCTTAAAGCACTGCTGCTTCTAGGATTTAACTGCCATGAACCATTAGGGATGCTAAATCCCTTCCTCATCACTGTTCCCTGCTCACGGTGTCGTGTCCACCTTTATTCAAAGGTTGTCCCCAGGTGCAAACACTGTCACACCTGAGGAGCCAAGATTTCAACCAGGAAATGATGAAAGCAGCAGCAAGGCCATTTCTGGGAGAACTTTCTGAGGGATATCAGTGGCATTGGGCTTGGGAAACTCCAAACATCAGCCCCTGGGTGATGTCCTGAGGGAAACACTCACAGGAAAGCTAAGGAAACTTGCCCAACCCTTGAGGAGGGAAAGTGAAGCTCTTAGATGTGCTGAAGCCATTGAGGAGCCCAAAACCACCCCAAAATCCAACTAAACACAGAGAAAATAGGCAAAAACCCTAATAATGCAGGTAGCAGTGTGGGCTGCTTAGAGAGCAGCTTAAGTACCTCAAGGTTCTTTAATCCTGTTTTGCAGAGTTCAGGATGTTTGCTGTTCACTGTTTTTAACCTCCCTTTCCCCTCAGCTGTCAGGGGGAAGCTGGCTCAGGTCTGGTTGGTGCCACTGGGGTGAAACACCCCGGAGTTCCTTTGGAACAGGAGGAATTCAGGGCTTTGGAGCAGCAGGACAAGGAGCTGGCTGTGAATAAACCCCAGGTTTGGGCTGTGCCAGGTTCCCGTGCAGCTTTGCTGCAGTTGGAATGTGGGCAGGAACTGTGCTCCAGGGGAAATTGGGTCTTGGTGAGCAGCAGGAGGTTCAGTGTTTGCCTCCCAAGCCTTTCAAACGCTGATATTTATCCTGCTTCCCAAACTTCTGAAAAGGAAACAAAATTCCTTGAGTCTCCTCTGAGCCAACAGGAAATGCTTCTGAATTTGGATTCCAACGTGACACAGTTCAGAGATTACAAATGACCAAAACAACTCCACTGGAAGTGTGGAGTCAACAAAAACAAGGCAGGAGATGCAAAATTATCCCTAAAAACGTTTGGAAAAATATTTCTGTGTCATATAAAAGGTGCTGCTGCTCCCAGCAACGTTCCAGTGACCACTTTATGTTTTCAGAAATTCAACTTATTGCATCCCACTGTGAATCAGAACAGTCTCTGCCTGGGTGTTTTGTTGAGCTGTGTCCTGGAGGATTTGTGGTTCATCCCTGGGTGTTTTTCCTGGGATTTCTACACTTGGAGGTCTTGGTAGTTCCCTTTTAGGGTGATGGTGTTCTCCTGGGATTTGCAGTCAAACACAAGAGGTTACATGCCCAAAATTAAATAGGAAAATGACTCAGCAATTAGTCACTGCATTGAAACACTTCTTTTTCTCTTCCACCTTTAAATCCAGCAGAGCTTGGATGATTTAGGGCTTAAAAACATCCTGGCACAAACAAAGAAACCTCTTTAGCAGCAGAAAGACAAATGAATCTATTGATACAACACAGTTTATTCAGCCTAAAAGAGCTTAGAGGGGGATGCAGTTCACAGGACCAATTTTGGAAGGTGCAATAATTTCAATTCCTCATTTGCAACAGAAAAAGAATCACTAAAGAGAAACTGGGCTTGCAAAGTTTTAAGCTGCTACAGCTGGAAACTTTCTGTGTCATTAATTCTACAAAAAAGCATACAAAAGGCTGCTATAAAAATATTTCACTACAGGCCTTACTCTGAGACAGTGTGACCCCTAAAAACACTGAATAAAATACAATAATCATCAATAAAACACGGAATGTTGCCAATAACATCGATTTCCACAGCACTTCAGCCTTTTGAGAGGACAAGGCTTGGTCACTGCCCCGGATCCTCCCGGGATGGAGTTTTTGGAGTTGCTGCAGCTCCCCCTGGGCTCAGCAGCCGTGCAGCCCCCGGGAGCCCTGGGCTCAGCAGCCGTGCAGCCCCCGGGAGCCCTGGGCTCAGCAGCCCTGCAGCCCCGGGAGCCCTGGGCTCAGCAGCCGTGCAGCCCCCGGGAGCCCTGGGCTCAGCAGCCGTGCAGCCCCCGGGAGCCCTGGGCTCAGCAGCCCTGCAGCCCCGGGAGCCCTGGGCTCAGCAGCCGTGCAGCCCCCCAGAGCCCTGGCCCACGTCGTAGCCCAGCCTGTGCAGGTCCTTGGTGATGATGTTGAAGGAAACGGTGACAAAGCCCTGGGAGCGCACCCTGGTCACTGAGGGGAGGAGCCATCATCATTAACGGGGGTTAATTAGGGTTAATTGAAGGGTAAAGAGGAGCTGCCAGGACTCACCTTCCCGTCCCTCTCCCTGCGCCACCACCTTGGGGTCCGTGAATTCCGGGCGCCTCCCGGTGAACCAGCTGGGAGGGGAAATACAAAATAATGAATGCAAAATAGAAAATAATGGAGACAAAATAGAAAATAATGAATGCAAAATAGTGGAGACAAAATATAAAATAATGGATACAAAATATAAAATAATGGATACAAAATACAAACTAATGGATACAAAATATAAAACAATGGATACAAAATAATGGAGACAGGATACAAAATAATGGATACAAAATGTAAAATAATTGATACAAAAATATAAAATAATGGATACAAAATAGTGGATACAAAATACAAACTAATGAATAGAAATGAATGAAGACAAAATAATGAATACAAAATAATGGATACAAAGTACAAAATACAAATTAATGGATACAAAATACAAATTAATGAATGAAAAATAATGGATACAAAATACAAAATAATGAATACAAAATACAAATTATTGCATTCAAAATACAAACCACTGAATATAAACCACAAAATTATTGAATTCAAAATACAGATTAGTGAATACAAAATAATGGATAAAAAATACAAACTACTGAACACAAAATACAAAATTATGAATTCAAAATACAAATTATAGAAATCAAAATACAAAATTATGAATAAAAAATACAAAATTGTGAATTCAGAATAGAAAACAATAAATTCAAAATACAAAATTATGACTACAAAATACAAAATAATGAATGCAAAATACAGAATTACTGAATATAAAATATAAAATCATGATTATAAAATACAAAATAATGAATTGGGGGGCTGAGATTGATCCAGGCCATGAGATGAATGTCAGTGAGACTGCCAGGAGGGTTTGGAAGCCTCATTCTCTTTATTGATCTACTGCAATCAAAGGTGAGTTTTGCCTTAAGGAAAAAAAATTCAACTGGTTTCACACAGATTTTGTTAAATCCAGGTTTTTTTCTGGCCTAGAAGAATCTTTCTGTGGCAAAGATATTGTTGAAAAATTCTTCTTGATCACCCAGAGAACCACAGAGGCTTGGAGACCTTGAATTTCTTTTAAAAAATGTAGAATGGGAATTGTTTTTCATGGGCTGTCCTTCCAAAACAGCCCCAAGAAGATTCAGGCAGTAATTTAGTGCAGTTAGCAGGTAATTAATATGTTTGTTATTTTATATATTAATGCAATATATTAATATGCTTATTTATTGTAATAATATAATTAATATTGTTGTTAATATGTTTATGAAAGCTTTTCAAAAGACCCAGACAGCTGAAAATGTGATTTTCCCCTACAGAGCACAGAGCTGGTTATGGCACAGAGCAGTGACACCACTGAGGGCTGCAAATGAATTTGTGGCTGAGGACAGGGGAGAAATTCATTCCTTAATGAATTCAAGTCATTAATTGTTACCTTGTGAGCTGCTGCAGCCTCGAGCTGGACTCTGGGACAAACATGGCAATGGTTCTTTTGTGCCTGAAACAAAAGGAGAGCCCAGAACCTCAGGAATGAAGGAATAAAAAGCAGGATTTTTATACTTATGGAGGCACAGAATTCCTGACACATCAGGAATTTTCCTTTCACACACAAAGGGTTTGTTTGCAGAGGAACAACAGATCTTCCTCCATTCCCAGTGGTGGGAATGAGAATTTAGTGGGTGAGGAACTGAGCTTCACATCTGGGCTTCTTCCAGGCCAGTTTGGGCTTCACAGGACTACCAAAACTTATTTAACGATGAAAGAATTCTGCTAGAAAATCTCTGTGAACTGACAGGGCACGGTGAGGAGCTTTTTTATTTGATTCAGAAACAGCAGAATAAGTGGCCCAGGACGTGTGTGAGCCCTGCAGCTCGGGCTGGCACTCACCTGCCAGGCACGAAGGGCACGTGCACAGCTCCATAACCTCTGACCACATCGTGGCCAAAGAAGTCAGGCCCGTAGACACTGAGCACAATCTGAGGCCCTGCAAGGAAACGGGGGTGAGGGGGGGCTTTGGCACCAGGGCCAGACCCCCCCCAGCACTCACAGCCGAAGGGGTTGGTGCTCTTGAAGGTGATGTCGATGGGGAAGTTCCAGACCAGCGTGGTGGGCGAGACGCTGCTCTTGGAGGTGATCTGCGAGATTCCCTCCTCCAGGCCCTGCGGGGAGCCGGCCGTGAGCTGGGCTGGGCTGAGCCCGGGGGTGGGGACAGGGGGACACGGGGTGGGGACAGGGAGGGGCCGTACCGCCGTGGGGACCCAGTCCGGGCCGTAGACAAAGGAGAACTTGCAGTAGAGGTCATCGAATCCCGGGAACTGCGGGGGAGAGAGAGAGAGAGGGAGGGTTCACTGGGAATTCACTGGGAATTTCGGGGGGTGAAGATCTGCCCGAATCAGGGTGCTGAGGGCAGCCTGTGCCAGCGAGACTGGGACAGATGGGATGGTTTGGGGACCGAGGCTGGGATGGTTTGGGGGCTGAGGCTGGGATGGGTTTGGGGGGCTGAGGCTGGGATGGGTTTGGGGACCGAGGCTGGGATGGGTTTGGGGACCGAGGCTGGGATGGGTTTGGGGGCCGGGGCTGGGATGGGTTTGGGGACTGAGGCTGGGATGGGTTTGGGGGCCGAGGCTGGGATGGGTTTGGGGGCCGGGGCTGGGATGGGTTTGGGGACTGAGGCTGGGATGGGTTTGGGGGTTGAGGCAGGGATGGGTTTGGGAGGAGTTAAGACAGTCATGGCTTAAGCAGGATGAAGCCAAGCAGGGTTATGGGGGCGCTGAGGGTGTGCAGGGTTGGGCGGGATGAGGATGGTTTGGGTTTGGGGCTGAGGCGGGATGAGGATGGTTTGGGTTTGGGGTCAGGGTGCGCAGGTTTGGGGATGGTTTGGGTTTGGGGCTGAGGCGGGATGAGGATGGTTTGGGTTTGGGGTCAGGGTGTGCAGGTTTGGGGATGGTTTGGGTTTGGGGCGGAGGCCGGCCAGGATCAGGGGGGGCAGATTCTCATGCCGCGCGGGCGGACGCAGCACCGAGACCGAGACCGGGCCAGGGCGATCCCCCCACCCCTCCGCGCTGTCCCGCTGTGTTTCCCGCGGCGTCCCCGGCCCTCCCGCACCTCCCCGCTCTCGATCTCGCCGCTCACGGCCAGCAGGAACACGCTGGGCGCCGCCATGGCGGGCACGCCGGTTGCCGTGGCGACGGACGGGGCGGCGCAGCGGCCAAACTTCCCCGGCGCCGCGCTTCGCTTCTCTTCGCGGGGCTCCCGATCCGCAAAATCGTCCCAAAATCACCCAAAAATCGCCCCAAAACACGGCCACCCCACCTCTGGAACCCACGGCACGGGTGTCCCCGGGAGGATCCTACCGGCTCCCCTCAGCCACTGAGACCGCCCCGCGCTGCCCCGTTATCCTCGCACCGCCACGTGTCCAGAACTTTATTTATTATTATTATTATTTAAGTTCATCCTAAAGCAACCCAAACCGGTGATTCGGCCTGCCCAGGGAATGGGCAAAAGCTGCAGAACTTCAGGGACAGCTGTCTGAGGGGTGCACAGGGCGGGGGTTTGGGGTGGTTGGGGCCGGACGGGATGCCAGCATCGCCTGGGATGATCCAGCTCGGGATATTCCCGATCCTACAATTCCATGCGTGGAGACCATGGCCACTAGATGATGCTGCCGGGCAAGGGCCAGAGCAGGAGGTGTTGGCAGGGAGAAGGAGTGAAATGGTGGACTTTGTGCTCCCTGGAGGCTCAGCCCCAGCCGTGAGGCGAAGGGCCCGGCGCGCCCTCAGCAGCGCGGCTTTGAGCCATGGAGGGCAGGGGAAACGCCCTCACACCGCCGGCTGTGAACAGCACCGTGGTGCGTTAATTATCCCGCTCTAATTAAAAAAGGAAAGGGGGAGTTGGGTGTGTAAATAAGGAGGATGGACGTGCTGGGGCTTTGCTCAGCTGCAGGCGCTGAGATGTGGGGATGGTGGCTTGTTCTGATGGTGACCACGGCGTGAGGGTGACAGGACGGGGCTGGCCCGCTGCTGTGACAGTTCTGGACTGGTGACACGGTGCTGGCCCGGTGCTGTGACGGTTCTGGACTGGTGCTGTGACAGTTCTGAACTGGTGCTGTGACAGTTCTGGACCGGTGCTGTGACAGTTCTGGACCACTGCTGTGACAGTTCTGGACTGGTGACACGGTGCTGGCCCGGTGCTGTGACGGTTCTGGACTGGTGCTGTGACAGTTCTGAACTGGTGCTGTGACAGTTCTGGACCGGTGCTGTGACAGTTCTGGACCACTGCTGTGACAGTTCTGGACTGGTGACACGGTGCTGGCCCATCAGGACCGCGGTTGTGCCAGGGAATTTGCTGCCCACACGCACACGTCAGGGCCATGGAGGCTGCCCAGCCTGGCTGTGGTTCATCCTCCTCCTCCTCGCCACATCCCAGGCCACCTTCCCCTCTCCATGAGGAATTTTTGGGGTGGTTCATTGCTGCCAGACCCTCTGGGGAAGCGTGGGAGGAGTGGAGGGAGCCCTTCCACATTTCAGTAGATGTGTTCTCTGTCAATACCTATTTCAACTCGGTTTTCCAGGCCAAACAAATTTGGCCAAGAGAAGAATGGGACAGGGAAGCAGGAGGGATGGGAGGGAATGCCTGAAATGTTATCCTTTCTCCGCAGCCCTTCAGAAATGCTTCAGGGAAAAGAATTCATTTGAACTGAAAATGATCAGGGGTGGGGGGGAAGTAGAGCAGTTCTGGAGCAGCTGTCTGGAGCAGCTAGTGAGGCTGTTTAATTAACACTGCACTTGGCTACCAGCTACCTTGGAGCCAATTTCAAGACATTTTTGTTGCCTGGCAGGTGATATACAGCTGCTGGAGGAGTTCTGCCAGCAATAGGAGACCTTCCCCATGGCAGAGAGACAGCAGGGGGGTTATTCAGCAGCCGTGAGTCATCTGTACCTGCATCTGGAAGGACTCTGTCCCCTCCCAGCCGTAGCAAGACTTTTTATTCTTCCCTTCTTTGCATGCCAGCCTTGTTTTAATTAGCTGTATTTTTAATCTTTGTGAGCAGAGTGAAATCCCAAGCAAGGAAGTGGTTTTATCCTGCTGGAAAACTTAATTAATGCTCCATCAGAGAGTTTGATTTCCAAGCGTGATGAAGGTTTGTGGATGGTGTGACCCCATGGGTGTTATTTAGAGATGCTGCTGTTTCTCCTGGCTGTTTAAAACATTCTCCTCTTCTCCAGGACTTGTCCTGATCCTGTGATTTTCACAGGAAGCCTCCCTGGGGTGTTTGGAGCCACAGTCATCTTCCCAGGGAGGAAGGACACGCTCCTGCTGATCAGTGACTTGTCACCTCTTCCAGGATCCCAGCTCCTGGAGAGCCATTCCCAGTGTCCCTGCAGCACTGACCTCTGTGCTGGAGGCATGGAGTGGAACAGCTGAGGGAATTTGGTTTGCTTCATTCCCAGCAAGAGCCAAGGGCTGGAAAAATGAAAAAAAAATAAAAAATCCAAATTGCTGGGAGCTCTGTCACTGGGAGCTTCTGAATCCAACCCAGGCACTGTGACCTGCCCAGGCTGCCTGGCTCCGGCTTCAGGGAGGCTGCAGAGTTGTGGTGAGCCCTTTCCCTGGGTTTTCCCTGGAATTGCCTCTGGATGAGCCCTGGGCAGGGCAGGCAGAGTGGAAAGACACCCTGTGCTGCAGGGAGGGAGCGGGAGCAGCTCCTTTGTCTCCCTTACCTGCTCGAGCCCCATCACAGCAGCCCCAGGGCTGATCCAGGGAGGGTGGGAGGCACACAAACAACTCCACAGTGGCACTGCACAAAAGTTTATTTCCAATCCCAAATATTTATGATCAACACCTGGTAAATGGCCAGTGAAGCACATTTGATGGTGTCATTAATCTGCAATAAAGCTTTTGTATTTTTAGAGTTGTTTGCACAGCGTTGACTCATCCCTGCCTGCCAGGAGGCTGCAGGGAGCTTCCCTGCCCTTTGTCTTCCCTGCCTTTTGCTCCTGCTGCTCAAATCCAACAGGGAATGGGTGGGATCTCAAGGCAGCACACACAAGGGGATATTCCTGCTGTAATTCCTGCTGTAATTCCTGCTGAATATACTTACCTGGTGGTGGGAAGGCAGCTGGGTGAAGCCAGGTGGGTTTTGTGTTCCGTGGCTGAATCCCAGAACGATTTATGTTGGAAAGGTTGTGTGTGATTTGTGTTGTTTGGTGGATCTAATTCCACCCCGTGGATATACTTACCTGGTGGTGGGAAGGCAGCTGGGTGAAGCCAGGTGGGTTTTGTGTTCCGTGGCTGAATCCCAGAACGATTTATGTTGGAAAGGTTGTGTGTGATTTGTGTTGTTTGGTGGATCCAATTCCACCCCCTGGCAAGGGCAGGGACGCCTTCCACTATCCCAGCTTGCTGTCCAGCCTGTCCTTGGACACTTCCAGGGACGATCCCTGTGTCCGTGTGGCTGCCAGCCCCATGCCAGGGGCCCTGCTGGGCACTGTCGCTGCCAAGGAGCTGTGAAGTGCCTGGTCTTCCCTGAAGAATTAATTTGTATTGGAACTCGTTATCATTGGTGAGATTTCTTTTGGTTAACGAGCAAAATGAATTAATGAGCCAGTCAGAATAAATTGACACAGAGGCAGGGAGGGGAGGGGGTGAGGAAGACCCGGGGAGACGGGGCCCAGAGGGACAGTTGGATTTGATAGGGACATAAGGAATAAAAGCAGGGAGAAGAGGGGAGGGTAAACAAACTCCTTCTCCTGACAGGCATGGAGCCCTCCTGCTTGTGTCCTGTGGTGACTGCATTTTTTGGGAATAACTCAGGTGGGAACTCTGTTTTCCATGCATCCAACAGACCCTGCAGACGTGGCCACGGGCCCTCAGCAGCTTGTGCCTCCACGTGGGGCAAAGCAGAATGAGAAGAAGCTGCTCCAGGGGACTTCAATCAAATATTCAAATCATTAATCTGGATCTTCCCTGTGGTGTGACTTAATGAGGGTCGTTGGCATTTTCTTCCTTTCATTGTGAACAGATTTATTTTTCGCTGGATAGCCCAACATCCACAGCTGGAAAAAAAAAACAACCCAAGGCTGACCTACAAGTGAGGGACACAGGTGAAGGGTCCTGGCATGAGGAGCAGCCCCAGCTGGGCATGGGACACTCCTGGTGACATCTCTGCATCAGTGAATGCCAGGGAATCGTGGAATTATAGAATGTCCTGAGTTGGAAGGGACCCACAGAATCACCGAGTGGTGCCAAAATCCAGGGGGTGCATCAGTGCCACTGCACATCCCCCATCCCAAGCAGCCCCTCAGCTCCTTCCCAACCCCCAGAGAGGGGCTGACCCTGTGGAAAGGGCTGAAGCAGCCACAATGCTGGAAGAGGATGGAGCACCCACCTGGTGTGAGCTGGAGTTATTCCAGGGGCTCAGCAGGGTTCCAGCAGAGAGACATGAGCTGCTCAAAACCCAAAAGAGCCACAGAGATTTCAGCTCCTGTGGCTCTGTCAGAGTGTGCTAAAATTCCTAATTAAGGCCCCTCGTCTGGAGGATGAGGTGGCCCCAGCCATTAAAACCCAGCCATGGTTTGAAAACTTAATAGGGGAAATTTAATGGATGAAGTCAATTGAATTATTCATCCCCAGAAAGCTTGTACAAATATCAAATGCTTATTAGCATTCATGCAACCTGTATGATCTCACAGCTCTGACAGATTAAGGCTGGGGCTAATTGCACCCAGGATGGCGTCAGATTTGGTGGTTGGTATTTTTTAAAGCTTTTTCCGTTCCCCAGAATGACAAAGAGAATTTCAGATCGATGCCATCTGAGATTTACCCTTGAAGCAGAGCCCCTGTGATGGTTTCCTTCCTCAGCGTGGTGGTTTTTAATCCCTGTTTGATTCCTGCTCCTCCAAGGGTGCTGAGGTGGCTCTGGGCCAGCCCAGATGGACACAGCCCCCATCCCTGTGGGTTTGCTGGAATGGAGAGTGCTGGGGCAGAGTCTGGCTGATTAATGGACAGGACTGAATGGCCATTAAAAATGCAAAATAGAAATCGATCCAATTAAATAATCATGACTTGCATTTACCCCGTGCTTTTCACTTCCGATCTTAAGTGAGGCTTGCAGACAGTCCAGGGGGAAATAGCTTAATGCTGCAGAGATTTAATCAACAAAATTAACACTGCTGAT